GGTGTGGGGCTGCAGCTGGAGCTGCAGGGCCACCCAGTACCGTGCCGGCAAGGCCGGCACCGCCAGGTAGCTCCTCCTCGCCTGGCACGAAGCGCCTGGCCAAGACGAACTCCAGACGGTGCAGAAGGCGCCCGATGGGATGAGCTCCAGCGACAGCCGTCCCTCCGCGGCCACCCACATCCCTGAGCAGTCCAGCGCCCCTGAGTACGCGCTCTCCTCCACCAGCCGGGCCAGCTCCACCTGCAGCACCCAGGGAGGAGCGCTGAGCCCCGTGAGATGCCCCACGGCACCCGGCACCCTGCCCAGAGCCCTGCGGCAGAGGGCAGAGCAGGCGGGATGGGGGGAGCCCTGGGCTGCAGCAGGACCAGGCTATTTTAAGCCTATTTATTGTTGAGAGGTGAGTCCCCGATCCGGCTTCCCAGCAAAGAGCTGAGACCTGGTCTGGCTCCAAGACAGGGCACCCCAGCCCCAGGACAGAGATTGGGATTGGGGGCAGCACCAGCACACAGGGCTGGGGCAGCACCAGGGTCCCCTGGGCTGGGCATGGGTCACGACCAGCAGTGGGGCTGGTCGGAACAGCTGGGACGTAGGGCAGGCTCCTGTCCTACCCCGTTCCTGTCCTGCCTGCTCCCCCTCCCCAGGGTCTGGATGGCTCTGGGCACCTGAGAGCAGGGGTAGGGTGTGCAGAGGGCTGGATGCTGGAAAAGAGCAAGGGCTGGGTCCTTGGAGCCGGCCTCTGCTAACTGTACCAGGAGACACAGGAAAGGAGGTGCCAGGGCATGCTGCCGGAAAGAAGGGAAAGATGTCCCAAGAGGGGACTGGCTGCTTCCAGGAAGCGAGTATGGAGCTGTGTCCATCACGTGCCCCAGGAGGGCTTTGGGCCAGAGGTACGGACGGGGTGATCTCAGCACAAGGCACAGGGAGGAACAGAGCTGCAGGTGTGCAGCCTTCTGCTCACACACACACACAACCATGCACACACCAGTGCATGTGCACGTGCATGCGTACACACACACAAATACGCACACACATGCATATGCACTTGTGCATGCACATGCGTGTGCACACCACACACATGCACATGCGCTTGTGCATGCACACACACACACACACACAGAGGCATTCAGAGCTGGGGCAGGTCCCAGTGGACATCATGCCCTGTGGCCCCCCGCTGCTGCAGGGCCCTGGGCAAGGTGGGGGCAGAGCAGGCAGGCCCCCAGCTGGAGAGAGTTTGCTGGGGGGAGCGGGAGCGAGAAGCCCTCATGCATTTTGGGTGAAGCCCGTTCGCAGCCACTGAGCCACCCCAGCCAAGCAGAGCTGAGCGCCCACAGACACAGCCCAGTCTGTGGCCTGTCCTGCTGCTGGGCTGCAGCCCCCTGGTGCTGCTAACAGTGGGGCAGCCCCCCAGTGCAGCCCATAGCCCGCCTTGCCCCCTTAAGACTCCCTCCGTCGGCCCGACCCATCACAAGGGTTGGCCACAGCTGTAGTGGTCCTCGACACTGTAAATTGGAGCTGCCAAGGTGGGCAAGAACCTCCTCTCCTTGTCCACCAGTGGCTGGTGAAGCACCAGTGGCTGCAGGATTTGGGCTGGACATGGGTAATGCAGCCACAGGTGCAAAGAGAACGATGCCCTGGAAGGGACAGGGTGAGGGATAGCGTGCACAGGCTGCACGAGGAAAGAGCAGAGCTGAGCCCATGCCTAGAGAGCTGGAAGCTGGTGCTGCCTTGGCTCTCCCCAGCCTCTGCTCCCCAGCCTGGTTAGGGCTCCCTGTCACTCCTCGGGCTTCCCCAGGTCCAAAAACTTTAGTATTTGCATCTTTAACACAACCTGCCCCAGCCCTCGAGGCCGGAACAGACAAGTTGTGCCAGTCCTGCCCAGCACAGACACCAGCTGGGGCACCCACTCCAGGCCACCGCGCTGCACCCACCACCCCACACTCTCCCCAGGCAGGGAGGCAACGGCCAGCAGGGCGGCACGGCACTGGCTGATCGTTTTGGGGAGAAGAAATGCACACACTGCTGTGAATCAGTCCCTGCCGTGATGCGACAGCTCAGAAGCGGGAGGCAGGACAGCCCGCATCACCCCTGGGCCGTGTCAAGCAGAGCGATGCCGCCACGCTCCTGCCCAGCTCCCACAGCCCCTGCATGCTGTGATCGCATCCATCGCCACAGCAGGGAGTGCGGTGGCAGGCAGCCCCACGCTCACGGGACAACACGGTGTCCCTGACACGGAGCCTACAGTGACACAACTGCAGAGGGTCTGAGGGACAAGACAGACCGCAGACGCCATGGAGCTGCCGCAGCGTTTATTGGTCTGAGTACAGTCTACATTCTGCTGTCAGAGGGAGGGGAGGCCCCAGGCCCAGCCGGGAGAGCAGCGACACCGTGCAGCAAACACAGCTAGTGCAGACCGCAGGGAGTCCAGGCCTGGAGGCAGCGCAGGGGCTGGCAGTGCAGCAGGAAGGCCCTGCCTCAGCCCCAGCCAGCCTGGAGAGGGGCTGTGGGGGGGGGAAGGAGATGCAACAACAGATTCCCTCCCTCTCGGCTCCAAGCGGCACTCCAAGCCCCCTCAGCAGAAGGCAGCAGCAGGTCCAGGCGCATCATGCAAGGGGAAGCCAGGACAGGCACAGAGGCTCCCACTCACCCCTCCTGGTCCAGGCTGCACCAGCCTCCCAGCCGCTGCAGGGGGAGGAACAGAGGGATCCCTTCAGGAAAGGGGGACCAGGGCTCCTGCCAGCAGCCCGGGACCCTCAGCTCAAACCCACGCTTGGTGCCAGGAGCAGAGAGCTCTGGGCAAGAGACACGTCACTGCGGGGAGAGCATGCCATAGGGTAACGGTGGGTCAGCCACGGGCAGCACTGCTGGGGCAGGCAGGGGAAGAGGGG